ATTCTCCTTCACAATTTCTCTTGCAGATTCCATCCGTTCTCGCGTATCCATCACAAAACTCAGTATATCTGTTTCGATTTCTGTGCTGTGGATCCATTCCTCCTTTAAAACATCTAACGGTCCTCTCACCTCCTGTCCATATAGTAGTTCAAAGGGACTGAACCCAAGAGTCGATTGTGGAACTTCCCTATATGCAAACAAGACATATGGTATCATGTGGTCCCAGTTCTTCCTCTCTCCTTCCAATACTTTCCTTAGCATAGACTTTAGTGTTCGATTAAATCGTTCCACGAGGCCATCGGTCTGTGGATGGTATGGACTGGTCTTGATTGCTTTGACCCCCATGAGATGATATAGCTCTCCCAGCAAGCTTGATGTGAAATTTGAACCTTGATCTGTCAATATTTCTTCAGGAATTCCATATCTAGCAAATAACTCAATCAACACTTCAGCTACTTTCTTTGCAGTAATCTTCCTTAAAGGAAATGCCTCTGGGTATCTTGTTGCGTAATCATTTATCACTAGAATGAATCGGTTTCCACGACTGGTTCTTGGTAGCGGTCCTACAATATCCATGGCAATCCTCTTAAATGGTTCTCCTATTATGGGTAAAGGTATCATTGGAGCCTTCCTTATGTGATTTGCATGTAGCTGGCAATCTTTACAAGCTTCACAATAGAGTCTCACATTTTTAAATAAAGTAGGCCAATAGAATCTCCTTAATATCCTTTGGGTTGTCTTGTCTCTACCCAGATGCCCTGAAAATGGTAAATCATGTGCTAACCTGATGACTTTATTCCGATACTGTGCTGGTAGAACAATCTGTTCATATGTGGTACTTGGTGAGTCCTTGGGTCTCCATGTACGACAAATTACTCCTTCCTTCCGAACTATACGTGATGGATCCTCCTTCTTTATCCATGACTGAATCTCGCAATCTTTCTCCTGGTCCATTATCAGTTGTTTAGTCTGGTTGGTACTTTCTATTCTGTTTCTCTTCTGATTTTGTCTTCTCTTCTCTCCTCTAGTCTGATATATCTTCGTCCGAGTTGTAGGTTGAAATAGCTCCTCCTCAAATGGAAACTGTACTCCTAGATCTTCATCTTCCAGTATTGTCTCCTCCAGTTCACTCTCTTCTCTTGTCTCTTGCTCCATGGCTTCACTTTGCTCCTCTGATCTTTCGGGTAATGGCTGATGCTCTTCTGAATGCTGCTCCGTATCAACTTGAATCTGTCTTCTCTGAGCTCTTGTCATCACTGCTAATGCTGATTCATCTTCTGACTCTTTAATCTCTCCAATATCAATCTGATGCTCTTTAGCCAGTTGTTTCAGTAGCTCTATCTGTTCTGATTTTGGTAATCGCTTTGCCATATGTTTGTGTAGTGGTACATCCCTTCCCAACAGCACATCTTCTGCTAGTCCTTGTACTACTGCTGCTTTCACCTGGTAATCCTCTCCATCAAATGTTATCCGAACTGATGCTAGTGGATACTCCCCATAAGTTCCATTCCCAAAAGTAACTCCAATCGTCTCCTTCTCTATGTCTTTCAATGCTACAAACTTCCTATCAACCACAGTCCTTGATGCTCCGCTGTCTATCTGAATTCGCTTCACATTGTGTCCATTGATCTTTCCTTCTCCATGCCAAATGGCTTCCTCTGCATTCTCTTTGGCTCGTAGAGTTTTCTCCGTACAATTTCTTGCTATATGCCCCTTGCGATTACACTTGTAACAGGTAATCTCTGAAGGTGACTTTCTCTCCTTCTTGTTTCCAGTAGATCCTTCAGTCTTCCTTGGGAACTCCTTTGACCGACCATGATCCTGCTTTGGTCTATTCCTCTGTGGTAAACAACTATGAGCTGTATCATAAGATTCGATAAGCTCTCCAACTTTCTCTGGTGTCTCTGGGTTCTGAGAAGTTACCCAGATTCTCATCTCTTGTGGTAACCCATTTAAAAGCTGCTCTACTGCAATCTTGTTAACTACCTGTTCCATTCCATTCTCTGGTACTAACCATCTCTTCACCAGTTTGACTCCTCTAGCTATCCAATCAGTTGGGTCTTGATCTCTTGTCCAAACATGACTCCTGAACTTTCTTCTACACCTCTCTGTGTTGATGTTATAATGCTCCAAAATAGCTTTCTTGACTCCATCATAATCAGTAGTAGTTCCCAGATCAGTACAAACAGTTCTAGCCTTGCCACTTAGTAACGGTGTCAGACGTAGAATCCAATTTGTCCGATTCACCCCTTGTATCTTCATAATACCTTCGAATGCTTCAATGAAGTCTTGGATATCCTCTGTTTCTTGATATGGTGATATTTTTAAATGAGGACTATTCCCTTCTCTTTCTGCTAGAACTCCTTTCATAATCTCTATTTGCTGCATATGCTGCTCCTGCATGGCCTGTATCTCTTCATAATGTCTCTCTCTTTGTCGCTCCTCTTCTCGACGACGTTCTTCAGCTTGTCTCTGAGCCTCCTCTCTTCGTCGCTCCTCTTCTTGACGACGTTCTTCAGCTTGTCTCTGGGCCTCCTCTCTTCGTCGCTCCTCTTCTTGACGACGTTCTTCAGCTTGTCTCTGGGCCTCCTCTCTTCGTCGCTCCTCTTCTTGACGACGTTCTTCAGCTTGCTCCTCTCGCCGTCGCTCCTCTTCTCGACGACGTTCTTCAGCTTGTCTCTGGGCCTCCTCCTGAAGCTTTGCTAAACTTGCCAAAGCTGCCGCTAATTGCTCCATCGGATCACTAACTCCTGTAATAAGACTTTCTTCCACTTCAGTACAGTCTTCCGTATCAACTGAAGTATAACTCTCTCTGAAAATATGTAATCCTCGCAACTGTCCTCTGTAGTCGTGTCTTAATTGGTAAGTCCCGTAGAGAATACCGCCCTTGATTCTCTCGACTGTTATCCGACATAAACAGTCACACCAGACACTATAAACTTAGTCTCTCTCTTATGCAGAGATACAATAGTGGGTCTTTCCTCTACAACCGTTTGAGAACTATCCCACCGCTGCCACCAAAAAATGTAACAGACGCTCCTAGCTATCTGTTCACCAAACTTTATTCTTAATCAACCCGAAACTCAACTGAGCTCAAAAACCAACTAACAAAAACTAAAAACACAACTCACAAACAACACACTTATATAGATCTTATAAATGTCCAGAAGGTTCTATAACATACAAGAATACTTTACATGATTGTTCTAGAATATACTTGAATAAACACATAATATATAATTACAATAGTACACAGAGAGTTCCGGATCCATTTAGAAACAACTTCTTACATAATAGTAATAAATATAAATAAATAAAAATAAATCAACAATCAAGGAAAATGAGAATTAAGATAACAATGACAGCAAATAAAATTAGAAATAAAAATGAGAGAGTTAAAGCCTGGACTTAGAAGAAAGATCATGGGAGTAGAGCGGCCTTGTTCCCAGCATTAGTCAAGGGGGATTCATGGCTTCCCTAAATTTTAACAATAAAAGAATATAATCATTTAATTGCACAGTTACTCAGTAGTTTGTTCTATGTCCTTACAGTCAAACCTGTCTAAACGGTCACTGCTTAAAACAGCCAGCTACTTTAAAACGGTCACTTTTAATGTCCCAATTTTTTGGACAATGACTGTAATACTAAACTTACCTGTCTCAGCGGTCACTCTGTAAGATGGTTAACGGTCACTGACAGAATTAATCTCCATCAAGACTGATAAAGACCACCACTGGTCCAGGGCGGCCAGATAGCCACGCCTATTGTACCACGCCCATTTTGAATTATTTTTACATCATTAATAATGATTAATTTTTTTTAATTGTTATCTCAAATAATACCTTCGAAATAATACTATATACAACTCAGTTTAGGTCTTTAGGGGTACCTAAAAGTTCTTTAAGTCTTGTTATATAGTTTCTATGGCCAGTAAATGTGTACAAAATAATTTAAACTTGTATTTAAAGGCATCTCTATAAAAAGGCCACCTGCATAAGACAGCCACTAAATGCATGTCCCAAGGTGACCATTTTAGACAGGTTTGACTGTACTAGCTCCATATCAGTCCTTATTCCATGAAAATAGGTGAAGCCCCAGTCCGGGGCAGCCCGGTTTTACCCAGCCATTTCCAGTGCCCGAGCCCTCCCGAGCCCGGTTTTACCAACCCCTAGAGGGAGTGGCTGGTTTTGAAAAAGCTCATCATGGCAACTTTCTCAGGATCTCAAGGATTGCCTCTACTACTTGGTAAGTTGAAGAAGTCTTGACTATATTTATCAAATACATCTAATTGTTAGATAAATCACACCTGAATGAGGTTTTCTTGCTTTTAAGGAAGTGTCAGTTTCCTGACAGGAGGGGGTTTGAACTGGGACTGGCTTTAGGCTTGTCAAAGAATACACTGGACACCATCAAAGCTAATAATCCACAGGATGTCAATCAATGCTTAATAGAATGTCTCTCTAAGTGGCTGGAAAGAGCTGATGATGTGAGCAGTAAAGGAGGAACTACCTATGTCTCATTGTCAACTGCCATTAGAGATATTAATGAGATTGCAGTAGCTGAAAATATAGAAAAAGAGAGTGAGTTAGTATATTCATAGATTTTATAACTACGTAACATGGATTGGAAACTGATCACGTGATCCCATTAAAATCAATGTAAGTGGGCGCGGACAGACTTTGTAATCATCTTTCTCCTAATCTCCTTCGGCTACTTCGTTGAAATGGCCAAGAGAACTACCTGATTATATGTAGCTGGAAGCAAACTTCAAGGCAATTATACAGCTTTAACTGTTACTGAAGGTTTACTCCATCATCTGAAGTTGTTGAAACTGTGGTGTGATGCTTTGTTTTGATGTAAAAGAAAAAGAGAGCTTTTTCACCATGCGTGATAATCGTGAAATCTATTCAACCTATAACTTGCTTGGAGTAACTAAAACTAAACAAGTTATAGTATGAAAATATGCATCAAACAAAGCTGCATGAGAATAGGACGGTTACATTATCACAAGCGCTAACTACAAGCCATAAACTACCAAAATGTCCATTTTCAGAGGCCCATCTATTCAACCTATATCTTTAGATAGAGTGCGAACTAAGGAAAAAGGACCAGACTACAAAAAACTTCAGAGTTTTTGACATGAGGATAGGCTATCAACCAAGCCACAGACCATACAGTGGAAAAAATAATAGCTATATTCACTAATTTGTGCCATCACAAAGGCAATTTCAGTGATAACATGGGGCTGCGAGAGTAGAAGATTTTGTCAGCAAAACTGGGATTAAGTGTCACAAAGAACAGTCATGAACTCTTAAGACCTATCTGCTCATCATCAATAGTAAATAAAACTCAAACTAGTACAGTTAAAGACTTGGAGAAGAGCTTGTTTAGTCCTTCCATTGCTTTTCCACCATTACAGAGTCTGTCCGTGTGATGTCATCAGTTTCCAATCCATGTTATGTAGTTATAAAATCTATGGTATATTACTGCCTTATTATTGTTATTGTGTTGATATAGAGTGTCCTGAAATTCTCGCTGTTCATATTTTCAATAAGCACCTTCCCCTCCTCTCCAAGTCTCTCTCTGATCCTGTTAATGTTGCTAGGTTGCTTTATGGAGAGCGTGTAATAACACAGGAAAAGTTAAATAGTGTTGAAGATGATGCTCTAACTCATATTTCTAATAAACGACAAGTCCTGCTAACTGCTGTCAAAGATGCTATTCAAGCTGATCATGTTGCTCTACAAAAGTTCTCTATTGTTTTGTGTCACCTAACACATAATGTCAAACTAGGAGAAAATATCCTTACAGACTATGGTAAGTATAGCTACTTTATAATTGTTATTTCATTGTGTTATAGGAATATATTTTCCTAGCAATAAAGAGACCGTAATCATCAAAGTTCAAGAAGGTAGACTTCAAACTGCATGCATGCACTTCTTAGTTCTTAAATACATGTAGATTGATCTTACTTAAAATATTTGGTTCTATATAGAGCCAGGCTAAAGTTCAAATTCAATTGTTTGCATGTGGCTTATTTTTATTTTGTGCATTTTTCCCTATAGCTCTTTCAAGTACTGAATCAAGTGATACAGTCTCACATACACCCAAAACTGGTATTATAAACATTATTATAATGTTTATTTTATCTTTCTATGCATGCAATCTAGTTGAAGTTGCTATTCACAGAAGCATGAGTGAAGAATTCACCACTCTTAGATCATCATATGCCAAAATGTCATACAATGTTCGAAAGGCTATCAGAGATGCAAACATTGACCTGGAAGATTTGAAAGACTTTATCACTAGCATGGACAATAAACTGGAAAAGAAATTAGAAGAATGTCAAAATATTTCAAGCACCTTACGTCTCATCGATAAAGAATGTTCATTGATTGATATTGAACTTTTTTGTGCAGTGATAGAAAATTTTCAAATTGATGCAGCAAATAAGCACATCAAAGAATATCGTGACATGTCAAAGAAATATTTTCAGTCCAGTCCCATTGCTGACTACCTTAAAGAAAAGCTTGAAGCTTCAGCAACTTGCCCTGCTCTTCAGTGTGAAACAGTGACCTACATTTTTGACTGGGAACCTGACGAGACAAAGCTAGTTGATATCAAAGATATACTTTCCAAGACATCCGGTAAACTAGTGAAGATAAAGTTTGCTGACACAGGCAATTCCATTAGCATCACTTGCTCCTTTCCGTATCATCTCACTGGAGTCCTCATTACACAGCTGATGGATAATTTGCAGTTTTTGAAAAAGAATGATTTGAAAAAGCTCACCATTGGATACTGGATAATGTGGGAAAGAGAAGGAAAGGAAGAAAAAGTAAATTTAATTCTTATTACATTCCTTTTGTATTTCTTTCTTTTAAAAGGAGACAGAGCAATTGCTGGAAGAGAAAGAGGCTAAAATAAGCCTAAAGGAGGAACATCAAAAGGTAATGAATTTGAAAAAAGAAATGTCCAGTAATAATTATTGCACATGAAGCTATTACTTTGATGCAATATACTGCTATAATGTGTCTTCACTTTACGTTATAGGAAGACGGTCTTGAAAAAAAGGACAATGATGAAGTATGTAGAATAATTTTACAGCTATTATATATAATTTTTGCTGCGTATAGGAACAACAAGCAGAAGCAGAAAAACAATTATTATTAAAACGTGATGGTAGTGCACATGCAGGTACACATTGAATTAATTTGTAATAATTGTAATGATTTAAATTTTAGACTTAAAAAAAGGCATGGCTATGGAAATAGAAAAATTGCAACTTCTTCTCAAAGCAAAAGAAACTGGTATGGTTTGTGTACATGTATGAATTGTAAAAATAATTTAATTTAAGATAGCATACCGGGTACTATTAAGGTAGTGAAAAGATAGTGTGTGGTTTGTTTTTTATGATAAAAATATTCATTTATGGAAATTTACAAAGTATAATGTGTAGTAATTATTATGAATTTTAGCCATAAGAAAACGTATGGCAATGGAAATAGATTTGAAATGCCTTCTCAAAACAAGAGAAACTGGTAAAAATTTTACATTTTACATACAATGAGCCGTAAAAAATAGTTTTCAAATGTTAATCATTTTGTGAATAGTGTGGTGATACTTTCACTATGTCTAACCTCTTTTGTTAGAGAGTAAGAAAGAAATAGAAATGTTACAAGAGAAGATATCTTTATTGAGTATTCAACTTCTTGATGAAGAAAAGGAAACTGAAGGATTGACAGAGGACATTAAATGTAAGAATGATGAATTACACGTATCAATTGTTTACATGTCCTTCAATGCATTAGTATTAAAACAACAAACACAGCAACTTCAACAAGCTCAGCAGCAGCTTCAATCAAGAGAGAAAGAATCTCAAGAAAGAGAGCGACAGCTTCAAAGGCAAGTAGAAGGTGGCCAGCAAAGAGAACAGGATCTTCAACGACAGCTTCAAGAAAGAGAGCAACAGCTTGAGGAAAGAGAGAGAGAGTTCCAAGAAAGAGAGAGACAACTTCAAGAGCAGATACAAGAGGCAGAGTCTTCCTGGGTAGTGAATAGAAGAGAGATTACAATGACAGAGGTAGTCCTTGGTAAAGGAGGATGGGGAGAGGTCAAAGTGGCTGGGTTTCGTGGTCTGAAGGTTGCTGCAAAGTGTCTCTACGAAGTCATCATCTCTCCTTATAACATTGGGCTATTCTCCCGTGAAATGAAAATTGCTTCTAAAATACGTCATCCTAACCTCCTTCAGTTCATAGGAGCGACTACAGAGGGTAATCCAATCATCCTGACAGAGCTAATGCCAACCAGCCTAAGAAAGGAATTAGAGAGTGGAGAACTGGCCTATCCAGCCATACTGAGCATCAGTTTAGATGTAGCCTGTGCTCTCAATTACCTTCATCTCTTCAAGCCTCATCCTATACTACATAGAGATGTCAGCAGTCCTAATGTACTCCTTCAAACAACAGGAGGAATATGGAGGGCCAAAGTATCAGATTACGGATCAGCTAATCTTCATCCTCTCATTGATATGACCAGTAATCCTGGTAATCCTGTCTATTCAGCACCTGAAGCAGGGAATCCAAGGGAACACTCTCCTTCAATGGATGTGTTCAGTTATGGTGTCCTCCTTCTAGAGATGATAACACGACGTATTCCTCTACCAAAAGAGAGAGTAGGTCTAATTGATGGTATTAGAAGAGCTTCGTTTAGGTCTCTTGTTGAACGCTGCCTGATAGTTGAGTATAGACACCGTCCAACAATGAATGATATTATAACTGAACTAAATGACACTGTTGGTTAGTTGTGCTTGATTTATATTAGCTGTTATTACACAACACAATGGCTGTGTATAGACACTGTGTGGGTACTCAATATGTAAATTGTCTAAAATGCACAATTAAATTATAATTAAAAAATTAAAACTTAATAAAAAATATTTAGAAAATGT